ATTATCCTCTGCCTTCTCTGGAAATTATATTTTGAAGCCTTGAAATAATATTTGCTTCTCAGGATACATTTCTTATCCTTTAGACATGTGTTTGTTCTTATTAAGCAAGATTATATACATTTAATAACACTAAACCCTCTAAACATATTTTTCTTCTCAATATATGCCATACTTCAAATTTAATAATGCCAAAGTTTGGGGGCTTTATTAAAGGAAACAATCAATATTCACCATTCATTCCATTAAAAAGTATCACCCATGTGTACATTAACCCTTGATTTTCCAGCCTGCGAGCAAATGCACCAGCTCTTTGCTGTGGGGTCCCTGTAACAATGGCACATGTATAGGTGTGTCACAGGGAATTTACCTGCATGAATAACTGAAGACTCTTCTAGGAAAAAGGTCTTCATAAGGCAAGAAGAGAGAGGGCACCATGGTCTGGTTTACAGATCACAGTCTTCTGAGAGGATGGGGAGCTTGGGTTCTGCCCTGTGTCTTCCATCAGATTGATTCTCCCACCCCAGTCTCTTGACTAACACTGGATCCTTCCTAGAGGCAGAATGTATCTACGATGTGGAAGAGAAAGCAGAACAGCGGTGCCCTGTAACCCATCTTGCTCAGAACAAGAATCAGGTGGAAGGGCGGGACTCTCTGAACTTGAGTGGAAGGTGGATGAGGTCTCAGGCTTCAAGAGCCCCAGTGATCATAGCGGTCGTGGGCGGTTGAGGGATTTGATTCCGTGAGGGGCGGAGCCTTCGGTAATCTTGACGGGTGGGCACCAGGGCGGGAGCAGGTACCCTCGCTGGGTTTGGGAAGCGCGTGAAGGGGGGTCAGAGAGGAGAGCAGCCAACCTTAGGATACTACTTTGTTGGCAAGATAGTTTGCTTATGGGCATGTGGATAACACACCTGTGGAAACCCAGAGACTTCCGGGGGGACCTTGGAAAGGAAGATGATTTCCAGCAATTTCAGTTTTGGAACTATGGTAAGAGACCTCCCAGACGTAAGTGTTAACTGGCACCTGTGCTTTCCATCAAAAGTTCTGAGGGAAAATGAACCGAGAAGTCAGTATCAAGCCAAGCCCTTGGTGGATGAGATATTTGAGGACGTCTGTGGCATAAGACTTTACCTTCACGAATCACTTCAGAGGAAATTATTTAGCGTTCTCTTAGCAAACAAAAGGATGAAAAAATTAGTAGGAATTACCGGGAAACCAGATCCTGGATGCTAGCTGTACACCTGAAATGTAATGAACTGATGATTGTCAGTGGGTCTAAGAAGAAGTTCTCCAAGCAGTTGAATGGAGTTGATTGATGAAACAAGAGGAATAATATCAGTGAAATGCTGAATTAAACATGGTTCCTCTTCCAGGTACAACAAATGGTATAGACACCTTGCCATTACCACATTAAGGAGAAAGAAACTACAAGAAAAACCTAGTCCAAATCAGCATCAAATTAAAACGGGCATGGTTTTGAATAAATGGTGGATTTTAAGATGCTGGAAACATTTCCCCCCGGAGTTTAGAGCATTTTTGACAAAGGGTTCATTGACAAAGAAATGATGGCTGTAGAACAGAAATTAACCTGCACTAAACAATATTTACATAATTACGGTAATATCGTATATTTGAAAAGTTTTTATCTGTTAGGAATAATGTATAAAATATAGGAGATATAAAAGTAAACATGGAAACGAATGTAAATATTATATTTGACAATACAGAAGCAAAATTGTAGCTGGCAGAAAATGAGGTGATTAGCAAAAAAAAAAAAAAAAAAAAAAGAAAAAAGAAAAAAAATCTAAAATATCAACCAACTCAAACTGAGAGAAGAAGGCTAAAAGTGTGGTGTAACTGATTTTCAATCCTTATATTTTACAGCAGGATATCTATAAATATTGCTATAAAGTGATATGTTGAAAGTAGCAGTATACGTTCATTATTGACTATTGAGGAACCTTCCAGAAGAATTAAATTGGAAATAATTTAAGTCTTTTGCCCCAGGGAGGCAGAAATGAGCATGAGAAGATGGAGGCACTCCTGTTGTTTCATATCATTTCTTCTGTGTTATTTTATTTTTCAGCACCATAAAGTTAATGAGAGAAAAACGAAACACTGTCAATACAACCTATTCTCTGCTCTCTTAGTCATCTTAATTATCCAGAAACAACAATAAGGAAATAGTTGATTTTAGCCTCTGCTCTTTGGGTGATGCAGTGAGTGATGCATGGAGATACACAGAGAAGCATCAAGGTGCCTGGGTATTGGGGAGCCCTCTACATTGGGATTGGGGGGCCTGTCCTGACTCTGCCTTCAACTCGGTTAAGACCCGAGCACAACACTTTATTTTCTTTAGCCTGGTTTATTCTTGTTTATAAGCAATCAAAGGGATTGAAAGAGATTTGTGGTTTTCCAAAGAATTTTACACATAAAAACATTTCTCCAAAAGGATTCATCAGTGTAACCCAAAAGGCAAGCATGTAAAAATGAAATTACTGTACAGAAAGGAGAAGGATGGAGACAATTTTCCCCAACTACTTGAGGCACCTCTGTGTGACAGAAAATAACTGAATCGGGTTATCTTTACTAATTAGGTTGCAAGATAATTAAGCCCAAGTCCTGTTATTACTATTCCTCCTGTCTACTGTGGTGATCCACTCAAACCTTATAATTAAAAGTCATTGTAGGTGGGAGGGAGATCTAAGAGGGAGGGGATGTGGGGATATATGTATACGTATAGCTGATTCACTTTGTTATACAGCAGAAACTAAAACTAACACACCATTGTAAAGCAATTATACTCCAATTAAAAAAAAACTAAGTGAATGGACAAAAAACTGATATAACCATACAATGGAATATTGTTCTGCAATAAAAAGGAATAAACTATCAAAAAAAAGTCATGGTAAAATTTAATTTAGCACATGGTCTATTTTTTAAACATATGTTATTTTTTTAGTGTTGCAGTCATTTTCTTCCAGAAAATAATAAATAAAAGCTTTTACAGAAATTGCCATTTCACCAAGAGAATGATGTTCAGATGTAGATTTTTTTTCTATAAGTGTTCAACTAATGAAAAAATTAGCTCCAATTTATTGTAGACGTATTTTAAATAGTAACAACTAAATATCATGATGGATGGCAGGCTTGATAATTGTCATTTAAAATTGTTCCTTGTATGTTCATCTTCTAAAATGTTTATATTTTTTCTTAAAATTTAGATTACTAACTCCATCTGTTCAGGTCATATTCACTTGACATATTCAGCAGTAGAATTTTAATTCATCTCTGTACAGGTACATGAGTCTTATTTAGTGATAGCAGGTTAATGAAAAGGTGTGAAAATTATATCACAAATCGAGCTCTGAAAGAATGGAAGGGTGAATAGTAGTCACTGGTTATGTTTAGTTTCACTGTTAAATTGTAGAAAATTATCTCTTATGCAGCCATTCTTTTTTTTTAACCAACAAATGAAATCAACTACTTTTAATACTTTTTTATACAATACAGACCCTCTGTTTTCATACATAAAGAATTGCTTTTGGTGTGTACAGGTTACTGTGACTTTTAAAATCAAGCTACACACAGTGAGCACTGTTTTGCGTGTATACGGTAGGTATTCTTCCTAGCATGAGGCATATTTTACTCGAAGCCATTTTAAATTCCTATATAATATGGACAACGTCCTCACAGCCCAAATTGTTAGTCCACCGCCTTGAATGTTACATACGTTCTACCATTTGTTCATTTTTTCTTTGGTGTATCTCAGAGAAATATGTCACCTCTGCCCTTCCCTCTTGGTTTTGTCATGAGGTCTTACCTAGGGCTTCTTCTGTCTAATCTGCCATCCCCTCCAGGCCTATCTAGATGGCAATCCCATTGTGTAAATAGCTAGATGAATTTCCTTACTGTACAATGATTATCTTCCAAATAATCAATGGTAATTCCAAGTGGCAGGAAGCAGGTGGCTTCACCAAATCCTACTACCTTCTAGAATAATAACCTCTGAATGTTATGGAGGCAGCAGAAGCTATTTTGACTCTAATTCTGGGTCTGAGATAAGTGGGGAGTAAGAAGAACCCAATTCAGCCCAGGAAAGCTGCTCAGCCACTGATTTTTAGGAGTTGGTGCTCTATCACAATTCACCCCCTTGTCTCACCACCCAGCACATCTATCTCTAGTATGGTAATTTGTTTTATCTTTTTTTGCGGTACGCAGGCCTCTTACTGTTGTGGCTTCTCCCGTTGCAGAGCACGGGCTCCGGACGCGTAGGCTCAGCGGCCATGGCTCACGGGCCCAGCCGCTCCGCGGCATGTGGGATCCTCCCGGACCGGGGCACGAACCCGTGTCCCCTGCATCGGCAGGCGGACTCTCAACCACTGCGCCACCAGGGAAGCCCCAGGTGCCTTTCTTTTTGACGGCAAGGGATATTTAAGCAACAGCATCATACCATTCCAATTAAAGCCTCATTTACTCAGCTGGAACCACCCTCACCTTGTGTGTGAAAATGCCCTTCCTTAGCTGAGGTAATGGATACTTCAGCTGTCAGGCTGTAACTGAGTCCATCATCAGGGTCCTACCCAGGTACAGCCAACAGAACCTGTTGAGGAGGAGGCTGTGGGCTGATTCTGAGAAATGGGAAGGAAGGTTTTTCCTATATTATCCCAGAGAAAGTGGCATTACCAGCTGGATCATACAAATTGTTTTCAGCATTTCTTGATTTTTACTTTTCAGTTTGGTGGAAAGACCACTTTCTATACTTTTGCAGAAGTATTAGAACTGTGGTCCATGTTTCAGTAGTGTTGTAGCTGACTTCGTGTATATATATAATTTTATCACTTTCAGACATCTATTACTTTTCCCTCTCTCAGATGTTTAAAGAGCATGGCTTCTTCTGTCTTCTTCCACCCTAATAGTAAATGTGTCATCTCAACAGTATATTATCAAGCACTTGACAATATTTCCAGGAGAGCTATCCACTGGGAGGTGGGTAAGAAATGGAGATGAGAATGAACCTGTCTGGTTAAAATATGAAATATCGGGATATATAGTAGTCAGATTAACAGTACTGACAAAAATGTGACTATATCATTTTTATTTTTTCCAAGCCAGTGGACAGAACATTTGGGCTCCTCTGAAAGTAACACTGAGACAAGGACTTGGGCTGAGGGTGAATAACTGACTGGTGGTCTGATGAGCAAGTTAGTGAATAAAGACAGTGAGGCTACAAGAAAATAGTCAACATCGAGGTGCATTTAAAGGTAACTTTTCTTGGCAAAAGTGAGTCTATTCCCCATGAAGCCTTACATGCATACAGAACGCCCTCCCAGAAGAGTCTGTGCCATGATTAGAGCCTGGGTCTCTGATACACAAGCCGCCCCCAGGAGGTGCCTTCCCTGCACTCCTGAGAGAGCTCACGTGAGGGTGGAGCAGGGACCCTCGTCTCCAGAGAAGACTATGCAGGAAAGGGGACGACATGTCAGTGTGAGTCTGAGCCTCTGAAAGTGACTGTGAGAGGCCAGTTGTGCTTACATCCCTTGTTCTGGGATCCCTTTATTCTAGCTTGGGAACACGACACTATATTTCAGCAATTAATTTATTGTGAATCCTGCATTCTGCTTAAAAGTGTCTCAAGCTGTTTAGAGTTGATGTGACGTGTATGAGGACCCAAAGTTGATACCATGACCAGATAGATGTACGTTGTACATTGTTGCCACCTCCTTTGTCTGAGGCAATGCTGGGAAAGACCCACGTGGGTTAATCAGGCATTCTTGGGTACTGGTGCTGGGACAAGACTTGTATCTGCAGTCATATTCAGTTCCCATAAAGAAAATCACTGCCCTATCCAGGATGGGCCCCAGGGGCTGTTCAGCTTCCTCGAGAGGTAATGTCAGACTGAGGACTCAGGGTTTGCTGGACCCTTGAGGACAGGTGGGTTTCTCAGCAGGTGTAGTAGCTGGATGAGCCTTGGCGAGAGGGATGCCCTGCATAGCTTCCATCCTTCCCACCATGGTCACTGTTCAGAAAGCCCGGTGCCTTGTGCCAGCAGTGGGGTGGCTGAGGAAAGAGGCTGCCTGGCCCCCAAGGGAAGCCTTACTTTAGAGAGCTGGCTCCGAATCACAAAGTTCTGCACCACTTTTGCCCAACCCCACTTCATGTGCCACCCCCAAACAACTCCTCGTCTCCTCACCAATTTTCTAACCTGGTTCCTTCCAGACCGCTGACCCATGAGAGAGGATTATTTATATAAATACAGAACTCTCAATTGCATATGCTCACGAGGAAGCCCTTATCCCCATGACAACAGTGGTTTTATAGGAAAGTCCTGATTCTGACTGCATGGACCACGTCTCCCTGGAGATGGCATCACTGAGGCTGTGATAGGATTTTTTATTTTATTTTACTGACATATAGTTGATTTACAATGTTGTGTTAATTCCTTCTGTACAGCAAAGTGATTCAGATATACATATACACATATATATCTGAATCACTTTGCTGTACAGCAGAAATTAACACAACATTGTAAATATATATATATACTTTATCATATTCTTTGCCATTATGGTTTGTCACAAGATATTGAATATAGTTCCCTGTGCTATATAGTAGGACCTTGTTGTTTATGTGATATGATCTTTTACCTGGAAGTTATGCAAATAGATCGATGTATATTAAAAAATATAGTTAGTGTTACTGTAACTCAGAGCAATCTGAGCTGTAGGTCCCCAATTCAGTTCCTTTTGTGATTATTCTGAATTCCTTTCCAATTGCTGTTCATGAAGAATGAGTGACATATTGGAAGAACTTTTAAACTTAAAAATCACGGGGCTAAATTTTACAAACAACTTACTTTGAAGATTGAAGAAGAAGATTTATGTAAAATCCCAGCCTCTAACATAGGTAATGTAGAAATAGTTTTTGGCTGTTATTTTCCATTAAATGATGGATGTTTCCATTTCCAATTATCCCTTGCTAGTATGTAGGAATACAGTTTTTATATTGACCTTACATCCGGTAACCACAGTAAACTCATATATTAGTTCCTGTAACTTATTTTACAAAATCTTTGGGATTTTTTTAATCTAGATGTCCATGGTGTCTACAAATAAAAATAAGTTTATTTTTTCAAATTTATATGCCCATTATTTATTTTTCTTGCCTTATTATATTGACTAAAATACCCGGTACAGTGCTGAAAATAAGTGGTGAGAGCAAGCATTTTTGCCTTTTTCTCAATGTTGGGGGAAAGCACACAGTCATTTACTATTACATATGATGTTAGCTGTTGGCTTTTCATAAACACAAGCCTAAAACACAAGGCACGTATTGAAGGTTGTCTCTTTTGCACAAGAATGTCCAATTTTTCTAGCAACATTTGTTGAAAAGTCTATCTTCTTTCCACAGAATTGCCTTATACTACTGTTGAAAATCAGTTGACCCTATATGGGTGGCTTTAAAATGAGTCCTGATTTTAATCTGTCAAGGAAATTTACCATTTCTGAAATGATGGGATTTTTTTATTCCAATGATTAATTTTGTTTTGTATAATTTCTGTCTCTCCATTGACAATCCCCATCCAGTCATGCATTCACCTTTTCCAGTGGATCTACTAACAATTTAACATAGCTATTATAGTCCTTATCTAATCATTCTAACAACTGGACCATTTCTGTATCTGGTTCTGTTGGTGGGTTTTTCTCTTAACAATTAGCTTTTTTTCTTTTTAATTCCCATAGTCTGTTTTTGAGAGAGTCCCTTAATATTTAATTGAATTGTAGACAACATGTACAGAAGAGCAGTAGAAACTGTGGACAATACTGTTTGCACCTAAGAATGAGGAGGGCTGAACCTCGTTTTCTGTCCGGCAAGGGTGGTGTCAGTCCAGCTGGTACTGATCAGGGTTGGGTTTTCCTTTTGCAATTTCATCACCACACACAGTCACCATTCCTCTGTGCGCTCGCCCTCCCCTTGTGCGTACTGTTGAGTCCAGATGCTGGCGGGTCCTTCTCAGGGTTTCTGGTCTATCTTTAGGTGTCAGTGGTCCTCACACTGCCTGTAGCCCAAGGGTCTGTCTCTACCAGCATCCACCCCTCCACGCACTGCACCCATGGCAATACTGTGGACTACACTTGAGTGACTTTTTTTCTCACAGTGTTTCTAAATTTTAATATGGTGTATAATTTACTTACTCATTATTTTTTTATTTTCTGTATCCTACCTCTAAAAGAGAGGTCCACACATGTTTTTTTAAAATATCAGACAGTAACTATTTTAGGCTTTATGAGTCACATAGTATTTCTGTTGCTTATTCTTTTCTCCTTCCTTCCTCTTTTGTTTTCTTCCTTTCTTTTAATTGATACAACCTTTGGGAGTTTGGGATTGACATGTACACACTACTATATTTAAAATAGATAACCAACAAGGACCTACCGTATAGCACAGAGAACTTTGATCAATACTCTGTAATAGCCTAATGGGAAAAGAATTTGAAAAAGAATAGATACTTGTGTCCGTACATATACTTGTATACATATAACTGAATCACTTTGCTGTACACCTGAAACTAACACAACAATGTTAATCAACTATACTCCAATATAAAATAAAAATTGTTAAAAATGTAAGAACAATTCTTGGTCTCCAGGCCATACAAAAATAGGTCATAGACAGAATTTTTGTATGCTTTGCTACAGAGTCTTTAACAGTGCTTGATATTTAGGTTTATTCAAAGTAGGTATTGAAAGAACAGATAAATGAAAAGTTCATTGAACATCAAGGCGGACCAATACATAAAGATCCACTGGTTCTGGGATTCTTTTCAACATTTTGGTCTTAATTATTTCCCTCAGTTAGGCTTTTGCATTTCACTTTCATTCAGTTCCTTTGCTAATTCCCAGAGTGACACTTGGAGTGGAATATCACCTGGTGTTGATTGTGTGCTTCTTGTGTGGTAGAGAGATTGCTGCCACTAAATGCTATAGACAGTGGAAAACTTCTGAAACCCTGGTCTTCTTTATCACTGAGCCATCAGCTTCTTTTATGGGGCTACAGTAATATCAGCACTGTGTAGAAACGTGCAGTTTAAGGCATTTCCACCTCTTCCATTCTCATTGCAAAAAGGATGGTTAAGTTTAAGACCAAGCACTTTATAGGATTTTCAGTTTTCCCCCACATACTGCTTTCATCTCTAATAGCTTTTGTTGCAGCTCAGAGAGATTTACTCCAGGAACTGATGAAAAAAAAAGGATAGGAGAGACAGAGAGAGAGAGAGAGAGAGTCCACTCAATTCACAATGCAGTCTTGAGTTGCACATATAAGAACAGAGGCTCAGGGATCTATTTTTCCAGAACACAGAAACCTGATTTCAGCCAGTTCAGGATCTTCCCCTACAAATACCCCAGCCGTGGGCTGCCTTGTGTTCCAGACGTGCAGGCTTAGGGAACAGCGGGAGCGGTGCTGGTATGAGTTTCCATTGTCTCCAGGTGTATGTGCCATGCCTGCCGCCGCCATAAGTTCCTTCCTTCCATCTCACTGCCCCCCTCCATACTGACCCAAGGTCTTCGTCTCTCGGCTTCTGGAAGACTTCCCTCTGGTTCACAGAGAGCTTGGTACCTGGTGCGTGTTCTGCACTATTTTATTCTGATGTGGTTTCCTTATAGAGGTCATCGGGGGAAGACATGCTGAAGAAGATCAGATCTAAGTTCTCCCCTGAGGACAGGTGCCCCAGAGACATTTATTCTGGGAAGAAGGAGATGGTCGGGTACAGAACCAGAGGGTGAGGTGGCCCTCTGCCACGACGAGGGTGACCTTCTTGTCATCCTGCACCATTCTTCCCACTGGGCTCAGAGGACTTCAGTTTTGTCCAGTGACTCTCTGGGAGGTGGAGGGAAAGGTGGATCCTGCCAAGGCAGGGGGTCCTCATGGGGGATTCAGCCAGGGAGGGTCTGGCCCGCGGGATAGGGAGGGCGGGCCTAGCTGTTGGTCACTTGTCAGGGGCTTTGCCGTTAGTCCCTTCTCTATGCCCAGGCTCCCAGGAAAGCCTTGTCTTTGGGGGCATCTGTGTCCCTGTCCTGCTTAGGCCCCCCTGGCAAAGGACAGTGGCTGTGTCTGAGGCGAGCGTGGAGGGTGGGAGGTGATGGGGTGAAATCCACAAAAGTGGTGGGAGGGGACCGGATCACCGACGGTGAGACCACGAGGTCCTGGCTTCTTCCCTGGTGGAGTTGTTCCCTCCATCGGCGCTTCCCTACTTGGAAGCTCCGAGCCTGGTCGTTTATTAAGGGAGCCAGAGTTTCCTTAAACCTGACAGGTGAGCTTTTTTGGACGAACAAGGAGCTTTGCTGGAAAGTCAGAGCCCGTAGGGTCACTGGCAGTTGGTGTGAAGAAAGGAGTTAGACTGTTAGCAAACAAAGGATGGAACCAAAATTGAGAATACAGAATACAGCACTGTTTTAATCTCCTTCCTCCACTGAGCACCTGTTCTCAGCCGCAAGAACTTGGGAATGGATTCCGGAAAATTTTAGTTTGGGGGAGAACAGTTCAGCAGTAGGTCTTCAGAATGGAGGCAATGACTAAAAACACATTATTTATCTAAAAACCCCCAAACACGTTTTTGCCTTGTAGTGACTGTGATCCGAGATCCTCAGACTCTTCTTGACGCACCGTCTTCCATCTTTGCAGGAAGTTGAAACGCCTCCAGGGAGTCCCTGCTGTACTGAAATATAAACAATGATGTGGAAAAATGCCCAGTATCAATGTAAGTACTAAGACAGAGATCAAAACTGGAGTGGAATCTGAGTGCAATTTTATTAAAAACTTATGGTTGTATATACACAACAAAAATGACTAGCAGAAAGCTGAAAAATAGTAATGTTTCTGCTTGCATTTTCTGTACTTTACAGATTTCCTACAGGAAATATGAATTAACTCTATAAGCAGAAAAAACCCAGTTATAAAAGGAAGGTTACTTCTAATCTTTGTGTCATTCCATTATGTGCTTTAAAATTAGCTAATCTCAAGTCCTCATTGTTTATCAATGATGAGAAAACGTGTATCTGATAACTCTCTCAGGAAAATGTTTGCATTTTTTAAGGGAATTTCTGCTGTCTCTTTTCTTAACCTAACGTAATGGTTGAAACTTAGATTTAAGAAGTATTTGGAGCAATCTTCAAATCTTGTTTTTCCCTTTGCTCTTTAAAGAGCAGTAGTTATTATTCTCTCTATTTGATGGTTATAGCTTTGAAAGTACGAACAGCAGAGGCATAAATAAAAATGAGATTTAAATTTCCTGACTTTAAACTTCATCATGACAACCCTTCGGAGGTTCATCCCTCATCGATTCTGTTATGATTTAAGAATCACAGAACAATCTGGCTGTCCCTTCTTGCAAACACAATTCCCAACTGTCTGCTGTCTTTCCTTGCCATTAGTTTTGCACATTAAAGATGTAGACACTGTAATTGTTTTCCACCTACACCATCATCAGCTGAGCAGACAGAAGTGGTTGCTGTTATAAATCTGCCTGTCTCTCTGTGGGCATGAGTCTCATCATTCTTCCTCTGCCATGAGCCATGCAGCTCTGGCTGCAGTGGTGAACGCTGAAGGGTTTGGGAGAAAGTGAGAATGTGCCCACTAATAGCTACATCCCCCTATCCTATATCAATGTGTTAGAGAAAATCCAAGCTGAACTGGAGCTCATCCATAGGGCAGAATTCCCAGAATTACAAAAGCAGTGTTGAGAGGTAATTGAATATACTTAGATCTAGGTCTTAATTACCTTTTTGATTGGAGGTTTATCTTTAGCATGGTATTTTGATAATGTAGCAGGACCAGTTATTTTGTGTGATCTCCCACTGTGTTAAAGAAATGCAGACTGTAATTTTGAGATAAGTAAGTTCAGTGGGAATACTGTTCTAAACGTGTATCAATTACGGCAGGCTTTTAGTTATATTTTTACCGGTATTTAAGCATTCCCAGCGATTGGGTTTTAAGAATGTCTTCATCACCTTTTACTTCTGCATCCCTTGGTAGTGAGAGCTGGTCATGGGATGTGGGATCCAGTGCTTGCAATTATGGAAAAGATGCTTGAAAACTGCTTTTCTTAAAGAAATGAGTTGAACGAATAAGAATACCCATTTTCAGTTAGACACACATAACGTTAAGGTGGAAACGGCAGAGATACAGAAGATCCTCATGGCCGGTCAGGATACACAGGTCAGAATAATAGTAACGTAAACAAGTTTAGATGCGAAGATTGCCCATGCAGTTCTGGTGACATTTCAGTTTCACGTCTGCCCATGACACTGTCATTTGTCCAACATCAAACATTTTCTGAGCTCCCCCGGGGCCAAGGAACTGTGTCTCCTGCTGCCCCACGTCTCAGGGAGACTAGGATTGATTGTTTCCAGGTCACTCCTTGCCAAAAGGTTTACATAATGGGAGATTTTCCTCCCCCCACACCTGCAGCAGCTGTTACATGAGCTCTGTTATCGCACCCCGTGATCATTGAGTGGACATAGCTGGTCAGGTACAGCTTCACGTAGAAGGTGGCTTTAGGCTGAATATTCAGGAGTGAGTGGAAGTTTGGTAGGTAAAGAAGGGAAGGAGCATTGGCAGTATAAGGGCTTCCAATCAAAGGGAAATACTGGGCACTGGGTTCGGAGGAATGAGATGCCTCCGTGGAAATGAGTGTGTTTGCACTGAGGAATAACCGGGGCAAGAAAGTCTGGAAGCTGGAGGGATGTTGCATTAGTCCAGGTGAGAACAGAAATAAGGAATGATTTGAGGAATATTAGTGATGCTGGTGGGTGGTGGGCTTTGAGGGTCTGAGAAGAGGTGATTCTCAGGTTCCGCACTCAAGGACTGGGGGCTACTTAGGAAGCAGATGTCAGGTCTGCGTCATCTTTACTTCTTCTGTCCCCAAAACAGTACCCAGCCGATGACCTACACGTATTGGCAGTTCTAGAAAGTCGGTGTGATTCTTCGCAGTGGAGTTCCCCCCACCCATCAGCTGTGAAGCTCTTCACGGAAGCTTTGTCTCTGCTGCATTCTCTCAGGATGCCACACCCAGAGCTGAATGACTATGCCTGGGACAACGTGGGCATCTGCTCTTGAGTTGAGGTGAGATGCCCCTCATGGCACAGAATGAGGTTTCTACCAAGGAAAACAGTGAAGCAGAAGGTGCTCCTGGTGCTAGAGAACAGACGCTTGCTTTAGGTGGGAGTTAAACTTGTTTCTTCTGTCGCCCTGATACTCTTGACAGAGGCTGAGAGCCTGACGTTCTTCAGATAAACCTCATTTACAAGGTTCAGTTTCCTTTATGGCTTATTCATTCATATGGATGTTTTCTGTTAGTTTGGGATTCTTTCTATTAGAAAGTGGAATGACATGGATTTTAGCTGTGTTATTTGAAAACCATTTTAATGATCTCAAGGCCTCACATGATGTTTCTTGGACTGGTCCTGATGAATCTCACGTTGAAGATTTTAATAGTGAAAATCTCTGTGCTGTAAGCAGCGTTCTCCAAAAAGAGCACACACACACACACACACACACACACACACACACACCCATAATGTTTTCATACCTTTAAATTTTTTGCTGCAACATGAAGAACCTCTAGAATCCTAATTCATCACAAATGTATGTCTTTTATAGAATAATTGTTATATTTTACAGAAAGTAAGATAATTTCAAGTTAAATTTATTTTCTTTAAATTTTTAATTGCGTCAGTCAAACACAACCGAGGTTACTCTAAAATCTAAATGGACAATGGATATGAAACCTACTCAGTATGGCTATTTTACTAGTATTATTTGTTCTTAGTGACTAATCTTACCATATCACTGCACTCAGAATTGTTCTGTGGGTTTGAGAAAAATTTTGCTTTGGCTCATTTCAAGTTCTTACTCATGACTTCCGTTGTAATCACTGACACGCTTTTCTGGGTCACACTTAGCCACCTTTGCTAATACTATCTGTGGATATAAAGTTTCCTGGCTTTTGTGATTACACCCCAATTTGGTCTTGAATCAACTGACTTAAGAGTTTAGACCTCAAATCAGCCATCGATATAAGGGTAGAAAATGATAGAGGATGGAGCTGCATTTCAAGAAAATATTTGTTTAATGTATGCAACAGTATTCTTTTTTATTATTATTATTTTATCTTTTGGCATGGCGCAGCATGTGGGATTTTAGTTCCCTGACTAGGGATCGAACCTGCACCCCCTGCATTGGAAGCACAGAGTCTCTTAAACACTGGACCACCAGGGAAGTCTCTTGCAACAGTATTCTTGGTCTGTTTTGGGTGTCTGTACTATTTTTCACTTAATAAAAGCTTATGTATGGTATTAAGAAAATGTAGCTTTAAAGATACAGTTTACTAGTACCTAAAGCACCTCATTACTCAGGCTCTTCCCTGATATCCCCGTGGAATTCGATAGAACACCATTTGATTTAAATTGGTGTCTTAAAAAAAAAAGTCAGTAAAAAACTGTTCCCTTTCTTTCAAAGTTGCAATGAGAGCTTTCATTTAAAATCATACTATCATGTTATTTTGTGATTTAAAATATCATTTTGTTCTGGTCAATTTTAATGGGATTTTTGTCTAGAAAAGTTTAGGCAAGTTGAGGTGGATATACTTTATGAAGAAATTGCTGTATTTTTCTGAGTTGCACATTTCTGACAGTATATCTTGGGGATTTATTTTATTCTTTTATGTCAGTCTTTGTAGGATAAAAGTGTATTTTTACTACCCCTATCAGATCTGTATTTATGTGTGTTTCACAGGTTGGCTGAGGCAACTTGACAAATAACATCAAAAGTATATAATGAAGTAATTCTCTTCAATGCTGAAATTTCTAACTCTTCTCCTAGCAGGTTTATCAACCATGATTCCATCACAGGTGAAAGGATACTGGACTTTATGTTCTGATAAATGACCTTAATTTCTTAATTTTGGTGGGTTCCCAGACTTTAAAGAATGCATCATTTTAAATATATAATGTCAAATCAATTTTAGAGAAAACTGTAGGATAACGCACATTTAGGACTTTATCATCACTTATAAACTTTTATGAAATAGAATCATGAAGCAATTCCCCATCAAGATGAATGATGTCAAGATAATTAGAATGAAAGTATTTAAAATAAGAGCTTTTTTTTCCTTTAAATGGGAGGATTCTGGGTTGTAAGTTAACAAAGGGGTTTACTGAATATCTGTAAGCAAGTCCCCAAATCCATAATTGGATGTAGAAATGCTAATAATACAATTATAACTTGTAAAAGCGGATACTGACAGAGCAAATATTATGAGCTAAGTATTACGAATGTCTCCTCAAAATGATCACCTGACTCATGCTTCATTTAACCCGTCTGAGAAATGAGGGTCCTGCGACCCAAAGTGGGTTAGATGACTGCCTTGTCTTGTAGCTACTAAGTGGTTCATCTGGGATTCCAACAGTGGTGTGTCTGACTACAAAGCCCACACTCCTTTCATGCTTAATAAATAAGAACCCTCTGGATGAATTATGGAAGAAGGAGAGCAATGGAGATATTAGAAATCTATCCCATAACAATAAGAGAAGGCAAAGCATTTCTTGACTTAATCCTCACTGGTTCACAGAGATAAAATTATTTCTACACTGACCCCTCCTCCCCCCAAAAAAGAACTTATGTCACGGTCATCTTTTCTTGGAGTTTTTCCACTTCTCTATAAATATTAAAACATTCATTCATAATTGTGTTAGTAATGTATCAGTAATTTACTTGTCAGAATTTGTTTTTGAAAAGCCACAATAATGGGGACAGCAACAAATGTTATATGGAATGAGGAGATGGCTGTTTGACTGGGAGACAGATGGTAGCAGCTGTCCCCCTGACACTGTTGTACTTACTATTGGACAATGAATAAATCTCCATAAGCATTTCCCTAGGTGGAAATATGTCGACAGAGGGCAAAAAGGGGCAGGGGAAAGCTTTGCACAGTGCTTGGCACGGAGGAAGCATTCAATAACGGTTAGCAGGGTGGAAACATTTCAAAATCAGATAAGCAAAGGAATCACCCATCATTTGAGAGATCTGGAATGCCTAGAATTCTTCTGTCTCTCCCATTTTGTCTTCCCTGTGACCTCAATTCTCTGATAGATCCAAAAAGAGTTGTCAACTTTTAGCGTCTTCAGCTTTTTTCTTGTGAGGAGAGGAGTAATGATTTCCAAGCTCTGTACTTGCCCTACGGGAAAGTGGAAGTTCGACATTTGCTTTTTATCCCTCAAGAATGTTTAATTTATCGCTAGATATGAGTACGCGTAAATATACCCTTTATGTCTTACTTGCTGAGTATGATATAGTATCACTCTATCGTTTTCTCTTTACTCACTTTCTTTGGGATGAATCTTTTAAGTTTTCCTCATTGTTTCATGATTTCCAAAACAGGATGTCTGTGTAAATGTCTTTTGAGAACATTACCAAGTGGTTCTTAGGATAAATGTCGAAAAAAAATCCCTCTGAAATAGCTATTGGATGATAGTTCACAAATTTGAAGTATATCTATCGAATAGGTATTTTTCACTCACTGACTTTTAGTTGAGTTTGCACTAATATTCCGATGTTTCAATTTCATTTTCTCTTTCATGTGCCGTGACACCTGGCAGACCAGACCCTACAGATCATCTGTCAACATTGCTGAACCCATTTAGAACCCTCAGCAATATATAAAAAATGACCACTTCTCCATACGAAGCCTAAATTTGATATTTTAAAGTTGTATGTTTTTATCATTCTACTGTTTGCAGTATGCTATTCATTGTAAAAACTTACATTTGCAAGTCAGCACATTTGTTAATTAATAGATTAATTATAGATCCATTTTCTATGTGGTGGTTTGTCTTTTCAAGTTGGCTAGCAAGAACTCATTATCTTGTAGTATACAGATTATCATGTTAGTTGCACGTAGTTCATTTGTATTTAACTTTAATTGTGATATATTTTTCAACTTTTAATTTAGTTAAGTCTACCAAATTTTATATATATGTATATGTGTGTGTGTAGATCTATATATGTTTTTATTTTGTGTCATTTAAGAATAACTTCCCCATAAAAAATCATGAACATTCTTCTATATTTTCTGCTAATTTTAAAACTTTGAGTTTTACCTTTGGTATTTATCTGGAGAGTGAGGGGTGTGTGTGTGTGTGTGTGTGTAAGTGTGTGTGTGAGTGTGTGTAAGAGTGTGTGTGAGTGCGTGTGTGTGAGAGTGTGTGCTTTGCAAGAGGCAAAGAACCTATAGTTCTCAGTGGATAACCAACTGAATCAATACCATTTTTTAAAATTTTTTACTGACTTGAGGTGCTGTTTCTATAATGTGCTGATTTCTCAGATTACGTGATTCTGCATCTTAAATAGATATGATGACCTATTTATTTGTTCCAAAGTCATACAACAGCTCTAGCCCTTACATGGCTTTTTCTTTGTTCTTACAATGTGCTATGATAACTGCTAGAGCCAGTCCAAACTATTTGTGAGTTTTTTGATATTGTATTATATGTCTACACACACTTATTTTTCTATGTAAATTTTAGAAGCAGCTTGTCAGGCACTTTTTAAAAAGTTTTGATTGGGAGTTGAGAGAATTATTTGAAATCAAAAATTTGAAGAAGATTGTTACTTTTCAAAATCAAATCTTCATTGAAGGTGGGATAAATCTCCATTTATTCAGATCTTTTTTTTTTAACTCTTTTTATTTATGTATTTATTTTTTACCCTTTTTATCTTTTTATTTTGGAAATCAGGGATACATGTTTGATAGTCCAGAATTAACAAATGTCTACTACACTTGATCCACTTAAATGTTCTAAGTTTTCATGAGGCAATATTGACAAAACTAATTATTTTTCTAGAATGACTTTTCAAATAACACATAATTACTTTTTTTTTTTTTTTTTTTTAAGTACGCGGGCCTCTCACTGTTGTGGCGTCTCCCATTGTGGAGCACAGGCTCCGGACGCGCAGGCTCAGTGGCCATGGCTCACGGGCCCAGCTGCTCCGCGGCATGTGGGATCCTCCTGGACCGGGGCACGAACCCGTGTCCCCCGCATCGGCAGGTGGATTCCCAACCACTGCGCCACCAGGGAAGCCCCATAATTACTTTTATATTGATATAAAAGCTAGACTTTTTGTCCTTATCTTTGCTTTTTGCAGTTCATACATTTTTTCTTGCGGAATCTCATCCTTTAATAATTTTCTCAGCGAAGCTCTGCATCATCGAAATATTTTTGTTATTTTGCCTTCAATTTAAATGATAACAATTTTAGTTATGGAAAAATAATTACAAATCTCTCTCCACATTAATTATTGCCATTTTAGATTTAATCAGATAATTTAAAACTATTAAAATAATAATGGTCCTCAGGATATTATCTACCACATTTTTTAATAACTCCCTATTTGGTAAAGCCAATTTCCATAATTTTATTGAGATTGATATAAATTCAGAGAAGTCAGAACAAAGACATTATCTTGCAGTGTTCCTACACTCAATTTTAAAATGTTGAACTCATCAAAACTCTTCGTATAATTTTGTTCTACCAGTTTATAATGCACTTAAATATCACCAACCATTTTCTCCAATTGCCTATAAATTTGCAGTTATGTTCCAATGATCAAGTAATGATTAGTTATTGCTTTCTTTCTCATGCCTTTTATTAAAAAGTACCAAAAGTGTTCTGAGATCATTTTCAAGTTTTTTTACTTGGATGTGGTAGATCCTTTAATTCCTGCACTTTGAAAATCAAAATTCATACTTTTGCGTTTTCCCTTCTCTACCTGACTTTTAATTTATTATTATAATTAGTTTTCTGATGACATCTATAATTTTTTAATGTCACAGGAATAATCTGATAAATATATAAAATTTGAACTAACTTAAATCAATTCTTCTCCCTCTATCTCCTCATCTAAGTTGTGATCTTGTTATCTTTTAGTAATATAACATCCACTGTGCAGAATCTAAAAAAAAATTATTCTTGACAAAGATAAAAACAGGAGAGATAGTGCTAATAAATGTACACTCTTCATTTTATCAGGAACTTTTAGATCTAATTATTTTAACAACAACCTCATGGAATAGCTAGGTTTAACAGAACAACAACAACAACAAATTATGGGATAAAAATCTGAGGTTCAGAAGTTAACCAACTTTATCCATATAATATAAAGCTTAGAACAGCTTTGAGTAAGGACTCAAATCCAGGTTATATTGTAATTGCCAAATTATTGTTTGGGTAATTGAATAATTATTGCTCGTAGAAAAGAGTAAAAAACAATTTGTCTCATATTCCATTAAACCAATCAATTTGTTGCATCCACTTACATTTTATTTGCCCCAAGAAATGGACTCACTTTCCTGTTTTTCTTTTTAATGTAGCTGAAAAGCTCTGGTTTCATTTTTTAATCACACCTTTGCTGTTATCAATGCTTTTTGCAAGCATCAGCTCTTTCTAAGCTTTAATTTGATATAATTCATTAGTCTTCCTGACATATCTTACAGGGTTGCACCATTCTTTGACATTGCCCTTGATTGCATAATCTTCTTCTCCAATTTTTTTGACTTATTCTTCTAAAATCTGTGCTCTGTAGTTATATGGGGCATTCACTCCCATTGGTGACTTGAGATTTCTTCTTATCTTCTTTATTAGAATAATTTCCGATATAAAATCAGAACTCATTATGAGGCTTTTAAGCTTCCTTAATCATATTGCCTTTTCATGTATTTTAGCAGTAGAATTGAACTAAAGAATAAAAACATGTTTTTTTAATAGAAATTTTCCTCTTGATCATTTTATTGTGTTTGGAAAAAAGAATAACACGAAAAAATGCTTTAAAAAGCCCTAAATATAATTAACAATTATGAATATACTATAAATCCCTTTCTAAGTTATATTTATACCATATATATACTTTTACATTTTGGTTTGAGTTAATAGAACATAAAATAAAATGTGGAGTTTTCTCCACCAAAGTGGTGGAGAGTTAAACACTGTATCACCCACATTCTTTTGCAGTCAGAGATCTAGATTTTAGTTGCACCCTTGTGAAATTGTGATGTGAGAATTAGCAACTGGAAGTGATGTGGAGCCCAGATACTTTTGTTGGGACTAGAAAGGAAGTTTGGAGGTACAGGAAGTCATGTTATTTCTGGGCTGAATTAGACTCCTCAGGTCAGCTTTGTAGAGCGGAGAAGTTATGGTGGTTGTAGCAGCAGTGTCACCACCAAGAACTGTGGTGGAGTGAACATAATATTCCTGACCCTGCATCTCAGGAAGGTGGAGGGGACTTGGAATCCATCCACCCTGGTGATCCTCCCACATCTTAGCCTCCAGTCCAGCCTATCGGTAAATGTTCAACTCTCTATATTCAATTCCTTTCTGCTTGAAACCTTGGTTTCTATTTCTGCTCTGAACGCTTACACTCCATGGATGTTTAAGCTCATCAAGTTCTTTTCTAGAAACTCTGCTTTGTTCTTTTCACGTGCACCCTTTTCTCTTTCAGAATGTTCTATTCTTTTTTTAGGAATTCTTTTCATTTTAGCATATAAAATCATTTTTAATTTACTTGATACTATTCCAATCTAAGTAGATCTATTCACTTAACAAATGGCATGCTCTTTCCTTCCTGCTTTTTTCCCTGCCTGGTCTTCCTGCTCTGTTGTGTCATGGAGAAGGACGTGGAGAGGGACAATGGTCTCTTACTTACCAAGCTGCTACAGATCTCGTCACTGGAGGTGTGTCCACGTGGAAGGTGTGCAAAGCTGCATGCCATCCACATCACGATGACTTCTGGAGAACCATGGAAGCTGTCTCCCTGAACAGTTCGCAACAGGTGGATCAACTCTGGTTCAGGTCTTCTAGTTTCTCCTCAGCCCCCAGCCTTGCCTCTGTTATAGGAGGCCAACACAATAGAGGTTCACATTTTGATGCTCTGGCTCTGGCAACATGATTCAAACTTCATGACTCTTGGGGAAACACAGACACTTGTGCTCGGCCATCTGGTAACAGTGTGGGTTCCCCCAGGGAGGCCCCATTTCCACTTGTGACCTTGCTCCAAACTTCTTATCTGTGGCCTCCATGGGCACATGGTGTGGATCAGCAAAATGGTAAAGTAAGTGGAGGTTGAAAATGCAGTGAGATTCTGGGTTCCTTGTTTTGCAGGTCCATTGACTTTCCTAGAATTTCCTTAAAGGGCCAGACAGAGCAGCCCTTCTGAACAGGAAGTTCAAATAGAGACACAGCTCTCTCCACTAAGCCAGGTGAGTGGAAGGCAGCTGGTCCATCCATAGCCTCCTTGGTTTTGGGTGTGGGATGCTGTCAGCCTACACTTAGTGAATGCTTTGAGCACTCTTTAAACGTTTTCACAGGACTTTTTATCCTCTGCTCTGCATCTGGTCTACAATTCTGGGGATATTGGGGAAGTCATGCCAATACCTCATCCCCCACTTTCTGGTCATTGATCTAATATCAAAGTCTTGAGTCTAACTCCAATGTCTGTTCTGGACACTGATTCTTGTGTAGGGAGGACCGCTGAGGACTTAGTGGTTGTTTTCATAGGATTCATCATGAGGTTTGTGTGTTTTTCCATATAAATCCCATGGGAATATTCACCCAGAAAGGTTTCACATTTGCTTGTGTCAGGTACACCACCCACTGCTAATTTTTACTTTAATTTCTCATCTTGGGGTATGGGGATGTTTTGCTCTCTACAATTTCACTCAGAGGACAGCCCCCCACTGTCCTGGGTTAACGTGGAGCCTTGGTTGTTAGCACCACTTCCCCACGTGAAATATTCAGAAATGTTTATTTAAAGGTCACCCTGGGCTCATTACAGTTTTTCCTATTGTCCTTTTATCTCTGAGGCAATATATTTCAGCCCTTGAATTTGCATTCCTCAAAAATCTGTCCCAGCCTTTCAGGTACCTCTTTAACCTTCTCAGAGCACCTACAGCATCAGCTCAAATGCTTAAATCTCTGCTTTGAATTTACCTTAATTTCTGAAATGCTATGGGTTTCTTTTCCTGTCTTTTGAGCTCATCTCTGCATTCAAAATTGTTTTATTTTTAGGTGTTTAAAAT